CGACCAAAATCGGTTGGTGACCAAATTCGTAGGGGTCAGAACAGATTACTGTATTTACATTGAACCTTATGGGAAAATTTGATTCGGGTCGCGACCAAAATCGGTTGGTGACCAAATTCGTAGGGGTCAGAACAGATTACCGTATTTACATTGAACCTTATGGGAAAATTTGATTCGGGTCGCGACCAGAGTCACGGAATGAATTAAGTTCGTGACTCGAGGTACCACTGTACTTGGTTTGGGTAGGGTGGGGAGAACTGCTTATCTAACCTAGAGGTGAAGGATGTGACAATTCTGTGCATTGCTTAACTGCAGCTCCTGAGGGCATCAGTCAATATAGTGAGGGATGCTGAGATGTATAGTTCATCCATATTTGGAAGGGGAGAGGTTCCCCTATCCTTTATCTTCTCCCTGGAAATGAGACACAAACTTTGGACCAAGTCATACTTCAAGTTCTCTGGACTATATTCAAAAAGCCTTGCTCGAGGCTTTGCTGTAGTGGTAGATCATGGCTTAAACAGAGCAATCTATCCTTGCAAATTGCTATGATTTTTCCCAGCCATCTGTGGAACTGGAATTCCTCTCAGGATTCTGCTAATCTCACTTTGTTTCTGTCCACTTCTGAAATCAACTAAAATACCAAGACTTTCATTCTTTCCAACGCCCTCTCACCTTTGATGGAACTTCTCATTCTACATTTTCTCTTGTGACTGCCATGCTTACTCATCCTAAAATGAGGTATTTTTGCCAACCCTCTCTGCCACCTCACTAATGCATAAAGCTTTACGGCTGTCGCTCTCCAAGCAGTGTGTGCTTTATTTTTGTCCTAGTCTTTCCTGGTGTTGCTTTTTGTGTTCCAAGTGTGGCAAAATGCTCTTTCTCATGTTCTGAAAATTATAATAGGAATCTACTACAGTATCAGTGCAGGAAACTCAGAGGGGGAAGTGGTGACTTGCTAGATTTTTAGCACTTACAATTGCCTTTCAGATGGAGCAGAAATCTCGTGCTGTGCAAAACTGGTGGGTCTTCATGCTCTGTTGTTAAGCAGGCAGTGGTTAGGTTCACTTTCTTTTCTAAAAGTTATTTTACCTGCTTAGCTGCCTTTTCTCTAGTCACTTAACTGGGTTACTTAAGGATCTGTTGAGTTAATTTTGCTTAAAGGCAGGGGTCCTGAAACTTTTTAAACAGGGGGCCAGTTCACGGTCCCTCAGAATGTCGGGGGGCCAGACTATAGTTTGAGGAGAGGAGGAGAGCCTCTGGACCTGGCATACCTGTCATGTAGGTATCATCGCCTGCAGCTCCCGACACAGCCCTGACACTCCCACTTCTGACAGACAGCAGCGGCGGCCAATCAGGCGGGTGGGCCGGATAAATGACCCTGACGGGCTGTACTTTGAGAACCCCTGCTTAAAGGGAACAAGTGGTCTACATGGGGCTGCCCTTGAAGAGTATCTGGAAGCTTCAGCTGGTGCAGAATGCAGTGGTGCGGACAATTATGTGTGCCTCTAGAACAGCACATGCTACACCTCTGCTCTGTGAGCTGCATTGGTTGCCAGTCTGCTTCTGGGTCCAATTCAAGGTGCTGGTTTTGACTGTTGAAGCCCTCCATGGCATGGGGCCGGGTTATTTGAGGGACCGCCTTTCCCCGATTACATCTGCCCGTCCCATCAGATCTGGTACAAGAGGCTGCAGGTCCCGTCTGTTAGGGGACTACATTTGGCGGGCCCCAGGAGGGGGCACTTCCCTGTTAATTTTCCAGATGTCCCTTGAGACCTGGCTGTGTCATTAGGCCTGGCGATCCCAGGGGACCAGTGAAACCTTGAGGTGGCTCCATTATTGCTCTTAACATCTGTTCTCTCTTATGCCTTGTTTTTTAATAATGACTGATTTTTATATGTTTACCATTTATGACCTCGTACGCCGCCCAGAGTCACTTTTCGTTAGATGGGCGTCCATATAAATTTGATATATAAATTAAATATATAAATAAATAAATAAAATTTTTTAAAAAGATTCCTTTGCTGATACCGTATGCTGGTTTCTCAGAATCACCTGCCCATTCTTGAAAAGGAGAGAGGAAGATCTGGAACTTAAAATCAGTGCCCTTTGGTAGCAATATTGTTTAGTGGATTGTGTCTTCTGATCAAAAATAATTTTTAAATAAGTGTTTTAAAAATTATTTCTGCCCAGCATCGGTAGGATGCTCTCTGTTGTAGTACTGAAGATGTATAGATGACAAAGCAATAGCCTTTAACATCATGCTGATGCCCTGCAGTTTCATTTCCATTCTGCTAAGCATAGCTTACCATTAATTCGGGTTTTTTTTAAATACATTCTTGCCAGTGAGAATGTCGTGGTAGCCTGCCAGTCGCTTTCTTTCAGTTTCTCGGCAGCCAGGTGGTGCTAACACAGTTGTAGGCACAGGAGTGGGGGTGGAGAGAGTTAATCTGCCTGTGATATATTTGTTCTGAAAACCAACAAATAGCTGTGGTTGGGGCTAAATTGGGATGAAATATTCTTTACCTAAATGTACAGATATTTTGTTTGAATTGTGGAAGCGAAGACAGGATAGAATTGATGGGAAACTGAGGGCCAGAAGCAAACTTGGGTTTAGTCCAGAGCATTCTCGGAGAGATGTCTGCGTCCCAACACTGGTCTTGCACTTCAAAAAAAAAAGTCTAGTCAGTGCTAAGCCGTTGCCAGCCCTCAAATTTCCAACCCTGTGCCTGAAATAGTGTTCTTTTGGGGCAGTTTGGTGAATTTTAAATAGTTATTGTAAGAGTAGCAGACGCTCTGCCTAACGCTGCTCAAAGTGCTGCTGACTGCCACTATCGCTAGGGGAGGACAGTGGGGTACAAAGGCCCTAACAAAAATTGAAGCTGGCCCTGAAATAGGGCACTGATGCAACACGAAAATAAGTAGCAAGGATATTTCAGTACTGGGGATTGCATTGGAGCAGAGGTTCTGACTAGTCCAAACAGAGTGGCTTCTGTATTCAGTTCCGCGTCTGCAAACAAGCAGCCAAGCTCAGAGAACCCCAAAGACTCCACAGTTCAACCCTGAGCTGCAGATACTCTCTTCTGCCAGTAAGGTACTGGGGATCGTGGCCAGTGGGATGGGAGCAGAAGACCTTGCCTTGCATCTGCTGCTTTCTCCATCTTCACCTGGATGCCCTTAAACGTTCTGCATGAGACCTGAGGACTACATACTTGTGTGTGTTTTTAAAAAAGGTTTCTAGAACATAGTTTTGTGGTAGCCAAATTCTGTATTTTGCCATTGGAAACATTGCCAAATTATCCTTTTGCCATTGGAAACGTTCTTCCTGTGTGATGCCAAAGATTTATTCAGTTCAGGAGGCCAGGAAGAAAAGGAGATGTATTTGTTTATTCATTTATTTATTCAAATTTGTTATAGCTGCCTAATTCCAATAGACTGTGGGCGGTGTATAACCCCCCCCCCAAATCCATAAAAACAGATAAGACACTATGTGAGATGGGTGGCTATATAAATGTGAATGAATGAATAAATAAAACAACACAGACAGCCCAGACTAAAATGATCTTAAAAGCAACACAGAACCAACAAAACAGGCGCCCCCAAAACACAGTCATACTTTGTCGATGCTTTGTTTTCTTAATGGAAAGCAGATCCCCTCCTCATTTCCTTGCCTTGGTTTGACCAGACCCTGCAGTCTTCTTGAGCTACCTTTGTGGTGTAATACACGAACCGATGGGGTGAGGGCATGTATTAAATTAACCAAAGGGGAAAAAATATGCCGTCTGTGGGCCTGAAGATCTCGTCTTCCTGTCTCCCAACTTTGTGGTGCTAGAATTGGAACTGGGTGGTAGCAGAAAGAGGGCGAGGACTTGGGGTCGTTCCAAACGAAAGCCATTGTGCAACGTCACTTTAGTTATAGTACCTGTAAAATATGCTGTTCCTGGTGCAGAGAGAAAAATCCCCCCTTTTGTCTGCGTTTACCAGGCCCTTTTTTTACCAGCATACGTGTCCTATTTTTGCCGTGCAGCTTCCCCATTTTGGGGGCTTTGCTGAAGTGGGTCAGGACCCAGCAGGATATTCACAGACTCTAATCAATCTTTCAGAAAGTGCTTTGTTATTGAGCTGTGGAGTGATTTTTCTCAGCTCTAGGAGTCTTGCATGCACTCTCTAATTCTCTGGGACCTAATTCTCCTGAACAATTGAGTAATGAGTCAGATATGGACGCTCTGCTCCCTTCTCCTCTTCTCCAGTTTTTTGCAGTTACCGTTTTCCTTGTTTCAAAGATCCTGTGCTTAAAATCCACCACCACCACACCCCCCACCCAAAATCACCCAGACCCAGGAAATTTAGGTTGAGATGTTCTATTTAGAATAAAGAGCTATAGTGCAGAATGAAATTCTAGCAAAAGAGTTGAAATTTGAGTGGAGATTTGAATTTGGGTCCTGCTGAGATATAAAAGAATTTCCTTCAGGTTTTGACTATTTTTAATATAGTAAGCGTCCATTATATTTCAGCCTATCCCCCTGTCAGCTGAAAGGTAATTTTAAGGATAATATTTATTTATTTCTCACATAGCTGCCCATCTCACAAACGTGACTCTGGATGGCGTACAATAAAAAACAACCATAAAAACAGACATTAAGACATTCCATAATAAAAACATCCATATTGCTAAGAAAAACTAAGAGAACATTTTCTGTATTACGAACAGTGTACCCATTGCAACAGTTCTCCAGATCCTTGAGGTCCCCAAGCCTGTTGACACAGCCACATTTTGAGGGACTTCTGGAAGGCTGCCAAGGATGGGGCCAGTCTCACTTGTGGGGTGGGGAATGATGTTCCACAGGGTGGGTGCCACGGTAGAAAAAGCCTGTCTCCTGGGTCCCACCTGATGTAGCTCCTTAACAAACAGGACCCACAACGTGCCTCTTCTGCTGGAGCTGCAACACATTCACCTCTGCTATATTTGGGGGGGGGAGGGGCAGAAGAAGCAGCATGTACAAGTGACATCTGTTCAAGCTGCAAACATGACAGTCTGTATGAGCTTAAACAAGGAAAAGAGTGGGCCAGAAGCTTCTACAGATAGTGGGATTGCTGAAAGAGGGCATAGAAAGGACTGGGAGAGCATGAGGATCATTTCTGGCCACTAGATCCCCCCCAAATCTATTTCGGTTCCTAAACTTCAGCAAAAATCGTTTTTCTTTACACTAAGGAGTATTGTTTGAGATTTTTTGAAAAAGCAGAACTGATGCCTTTTGAACTTCAACCCTTGTGGATAGTTAGATCCGCATAGATTATGCCCAATCTCCTATTCTACTTTGTCTGGAGGCAGCCTTTCACTAATAACTTGCATTAGGACTTAATTAGTGTGCAATCCTTATTGATTATGATCCCATGAGTGTAGGTTTTGGCCAATCTGATCTGGCACTTACAAGGGGGATGCCCCTAAAAGTCTAGAAGCACAGTAGCAAGACAGCCAATGGGGTTTAGTTGTGAAGGGGTTGGACTAGGAGTGGGGAGACCCAGGTTCTAGTTCATCCCCAGCCACAGAAACTCCCTTGGGGACTTTTGTGCCCGTCACTCTCTCTGACCAATCTACCTCACAGGAATGTTGTTGTAGGCAAAAATAGGTCTTACCCAGGAATGCATGCCAAGTGAAAATACCAAATGTCACTAAATACTAGCACATCTGAAAAGGAAAAGGTAGAATCTGTGAAAGCTGTTCTTGGGAATTTGATTTTGTGGGAGTTGAGATGTTGCTGCAGAAGCCAACAGGTACGAAAAACAAGTAGCTTAGCAAATGATGAGCTTAGATCAAATGCTTTTGAAACCAAGTCTCAAACAGGGTTACAAAAGTCTTCTGGTGGAATCCTGTTGCTTCATGTTTTCTGTTTTCTTTCTCTCCTCCTCTTCCATTCTCCCCTCCCCACCCAGAACTGGGACCTTGTACAGCAGACACAGAACTATCTGAAGCTTCTGATCTCCATTATCAATAGTGATGGTGAGGCTCTTTTCTTGTGGTGGAACAGGGATTCAGGGGATTTTTGTAACTGACTCCAGTGCGATTATTTTTAAAAAAAAACTAAGGAAGGTGTAATTGGGCAAAAATTGGGAAATCAATTGTGAAACTAGTAGATTTAATGGAGGGTTCCTTTCCCACATAATTTGAACAGTGGTGTATGGGGGAGATGGCCCATTTTCTTTGTTTTTGTCATTCTAAAGAACTCTATTATCTTGATCGGTTTTGTACAGTCCTAGGATTCTGGATGGTTGACTGAACCTCCAGCAAGCTCTGGCTTTGTTGTTGTTGCTGCTGTTGTTTGAGACCTTTATCCTCAAAATAAGTGCAAGAGAGGGCCTTTACAGGTACTCCTCTACTTACGACCACAATTGGGACTAGATCTTCCATCGCTAAGTGATGCAGTCATTAAGTGAGCCATACCCAATTTTACGACCTTTTTGCTACAGTTATTAAGCGAATCACATGATCATTAAGCGAATCCAGCTTCCTCCATTGACTTTGCTTGTTGGAAGCCCCCTGGGAAGGTTGCAAATGGCGATCACATGATCCTGGGATGCTGCAACTATCATAAATACATGCTGGCTGCCAAACGCCTGAATTTTGATCACGTGACTGTGGGGAGGCTGCAATGATCATTAGTGCAAAGACCAGTCATAAGTCACTTTTTTCAGTGCCGTCATAACTTCAAACAGTTGTTAAACAAATGGTTGTATGTCGAGGACTACCTGTACTTGCTATGTTGCCAGTAAAAAATCTATACAACACAGATCAGGACAACATGTATTCTGTTAAAAAAAATGAATTGACATTTGGCTTATATGAAAATAAGAAATATTTATGTATGTATGCATTTGTTTTAACAGTAGGAAAATAAGTGTTTATTTGTCTGTTTGAACAATTTATATGACTGCCCATCACACAACAGTCATTCTGGGCAGTGAAAAAAAAAAAAAAACCAAAAAAACCCAAACCAGCACAAATAATAAAAAAATAAATAAATAACCCAAACAACCAAAATAACACCTGCCCAAGTAGGTTTCAATCTGTGTCACTGATGATTTGTTGTTTTTGTTGCTCTCTGCCAATTTTAAACTTGGCTATAGAACTTCCTTTCAGAATGCATAAAGGCAAGTCTTCTCTGGAATATTTTTCTTGCTTGTAGCCTGGTCTTGTAGTTCGCAGTGTGATGTATGGAAATGTGCCTGAGGCTTTATTTTCAGTCCAGTGGTCTTCAGATGAATTGGCTGTAACTCCCATCACCCAGCCCAGCCATGACAGAGGTTGAAATTGAAACATCTGGAGGACTCTGGGTACAGAAAGGCAGAATTGAAAAGGAGTGTATTCCCTTCTTCCCAGGCCTATCCTTTATAAGCCGTTTTAGACTGTGTGACCTGTGACTGCCTTGCAGTGGCTGGAGGGAATCTCTCATGACCTGAAGCACCTGGTGCAGGTGTGTTGCAGAGATCAAACTATCACAGTTTAAGAACCGTATAGACCATTCAGTTTAATGGTTGATTCAGTCGCTCCTTGGGGCTCAAGCGTTGATTGAGCGATAATCTCATTTTTTAAAAAACAGGGAGGAAGAAATGGAATTTAGGCATACTATCTTAAAATGCTTGCTTCGCTTATTGAAATGCAGAAAAGTTTAATTCTTCTGGAGAATCTCTTAGACTCAGGTTTTGGTGGAAGAGAAGGGTAGAAAGGAATTCTGAAACACTGAAGGAGGTGCTGCAGCAGATCATAAGGAGAAGGAGTTGCGGCACTGGGTTTGCATATGATATACCGGAGGCTCCGCTGCAGGCCTTTGCTATTCCTTATTCACTTCCGAAAGGATTCTTAGCTCACAGTGGATTCCAGGTCTGTATGGAAAGAAGACGCTGGAAGACGCTTAAAGCAGTGATGGCGAACCTTTTGGGCTCAGTATGTCAAAAATTCAGAAAATGCCTAACTTGACTCTGCTAGCGTATCACCCCCTCCGAACAAAAGAGAAAGAATTCTTTAGATATTCCTTCATTTAAAAAAAAAATACAGTCCAGTCATGTGTGGTGCTATGTATTATATAAAGGAACGTCAGATAATTACAAAAATGAAATATGAGTAAAACAAACTCAGTTTCTTTAGTAACTCAAACAGGGAGAATAGTTGTTGTCGGGTGTTGGTGAACTCTGGCGTGTCACCCAAAACATCGTGGCATGTCCCCTTTGATATGTGTGTCATAGGTTTGCCATCACTGGCTTAAAGGAAGAGTGGGCAACCACTGGTTTGCACACCTTTGTACAATTCATACCGTGGCCAGCCTTTGTTCTGGGTGATATTTCTCATATTCCCCTGTTACTTGCTGTCCTCCTCCCCTCCAGCCTGCTGTAGCTCTTACCTCCTCTGGGAGGGTATGGAGGATGCTCTGCCTAGTACAGCTGGCCTAGCATATGCCACTCTATCCCCTGGAGACTGCTGGAGGCCTGGGGACAGTGGGGGGCTTTTCATCCAGAATGCCATACAAGTAACACAGCTTTTTCCCTCCGCTGTTGCTTTCCCTTCCTGCCGGCTTTGCACAGATGATGGTGGGCTCCTGGTTCACTGTATATCCGGATGGGACAGGACGCCACTTTTCATCTCTCTTCTGCGGCTCTCCCTGTGGGCTGTGAGTACCAATAAGCGCACTCCTGTTTCTGTAGCCGGCTTGAGTGGTACAGCTGAACCTAGAGAAAGCCTTGGAAAGGTGTGTGTGTGTGTGTGTGTGTGTGTGTGTGTGTGTGTAAGTAGAGGTCTAATTTTCCCTTTAATATGGTTGGTGAGTTCAAGGCCCCTACGGTTTTGTGGTGTGCCTTTTAAAAAGTGCCCGATTCTGCTGGCAGGAAACACAGCTTTGCTGTATAAAAGGCAGGGCTTTATGGTAAGTTGGGGCTAATTTGAGGAACTGAGAGTTTGAATTCTATCCCTGTCCGTCCCATTTCTCTGAGCAGAGACTGCTGTTTATTTGTATTCTGCAATACGAATGAACCAATTGGGCTCACTTAAATAAAATTTGCACGGATCTTTTCCATTTGCATAACTTACTTTTGTGTGGTGGAAAGAAACCAAAGAAGACTGAGATGTCGAGTCAAGAGACCATCCTGAGGACTGAGGAGCTATGAAAGGATGTAGAAAAAGCTCTTCCTAATGTTACCACGTTGGCTCTATAACACTGAGGACTACAAGCTTCTTTTTGAAACAAAACATTAAACTCAGGAGGTTCCAGGGTTGAAACTATATACTGCCGTGTAGTTTCTTGCAAAATGCACAGCACTGGAGAGAAATAAAATAGATGGGCTTCTTGAATGGGGGTGGTTTATTTGTTTGCTTAAGAAACTCTCTTGGTTCTCAAAGATCCTGAGTCATTTGGTGTTTTGATGTATACAAAGGAGGGAAGTGCAGAGCAGGGAATCGTTATAATGTCTACTGTATTCTCAGTCTTTCTTTCCTTAGGATGGGCTGATCCACACATCCCTGGAACCTGCAGAGATTCTTTACCTGACAGTGGCTTATGATTGGTTCCTCTTTGGGTAGGCATACTGGAGATCAGCCCTGCCTTGACCAGGTGGTGGTGGTGGGAATAGCACAGGCATTTACAAGCCTGACTTACGTAGTGTTTTTTAGTTGGAGGCTCCCCTGTTTAACATGCTTTTTCTATTCCTCTTGATTAACCCTTTTCAAAATCTCTGTCCCCAGGGTTTTTCTGCATCTGTCCTGCAGCCCTTTGGGGTGGGAGCTTGACCCACAGTCCTTGGGGTTGATCTAGATCTCTACCTGAATTCTAGGCATCCCGGTTAGTCTGCACACATGTGGTGGGCATACCTTCACAGTGGTATGGAGCATGCTTGGTCAATACCGAACTCTCCTCTTTCTCCTGCAGGCACATGTTAACGGATCGGCTCAGCAAAGGAGAGGAAGTAAGTGTCGCTAGGAATAGTGCCAAGCAACAGTGGTGCCCAGGTCACACTAAAGATACTGGTTTAGCATTTCCTGGTCAGCAGGATGGGGAGACAATCAAAGGTATAAGTTTCATCTGCGCCTGAAATTAACAGGGTGGTACACAGTATCTAGATTCTGGACCAAGAAGGCCGAAACTAAGAGCCTTAGTAGGTCTTACCAAAAATCCATCTAGTCCACCGTCCTGCTTTCCATTGTGGCCAACCAGACACCTTTAGGAAGCTCACAAGCAGAGCTTAGCAGCAATAGTTCTCCTCCCATTCAGGGAGAGGCTGGACAGCCATGTGTTAAAAATATTTTGCTTTGGATTCCTGAACTGAGCAAACAGCTGGTCTTGATGGCCTGAAGGACCACTTCCAACTCTGTGCTTTTATGAACCCTTGATGTTATTCTCTCCAGCAAGTAATACCTCATGGTATGTTGCTTATGAACATCATAAGCCAGATTATTAGCATGCATACCCTGCCCTTCCCCTTGCATGTGATGATATCTCAGCTTACTAAACAGGGCACACACAGAGAGTCTGTGCAATTTCATGCCACAGCCAGGCTTGTGGTCCCTTCTGTTCCAGACTTGCAAGTGGGGTTAGGGGAAAGAGAAAAACAAACGGCCTCTGGCACAAGTGTCACATTAGACTTGGCTTGCCCATCTGTGCCCTGTCTAATTTTGCCTTCTGCTGCAGTCATGCTGTTCATTATGAGACATTTAACACCTCCCCACCCCCTTCTTCAGTATGATTATATTGAGACGCACAGGATTGAGCAAGTGAATGTTCTAAAGCAGCCTTCTCTGACCTAGTGACCTCCAGATATCTTTGGAGTATGGTTCTCATAATTACCAGCTAGGGTGCCCCAAAGATTCATAGTTCAGGAGGGCACCTGGTTGAGGAAAGCGGCTTAAACTTGCTCCAATTTGGAGAAATTGTGTAACCCTGGGAGAATTGTGTATATGAATCTGTATTTTTCATAGGTCAGAACTTGGCCACCTACTATCACATGGCTTCCAAGGAATCAGTAGAAACACTGAGCCAGCATAATGTTTAGCCATAGGGATTTTGGGATTGTTTGACCCACCTTGCCTGATTCTCATAATTATCAGCCAGTTGTTCGGGAAATCATAAAATTAGAGAGTTGGAAAGAGCAATTTCCACACATCCATCACATGACAATCTGCCATCTTCTCAGATAATCAGTTCCACTGTTGTTCAGTTTGTCATCCGTTTGCCATCTTGCATGCGGTGCCCAGGGCAGGGCAGTAGGAGACTAAGGTCTTGAAAGGATGGATAACAAGAGGCTTTCATGGGGATCAGTGGTAGTGGCTGCCAAACCTCTGGGTCAGTGCTCTGCAAACATGAAGGAAGTTCGCGTTTGTCTATGTGGCAATTTACCTTTCCTCTTTTATGCTTCCTCCTTTTTTTGCCTCTAGATTTTCTTTTTCTGCTTCGATTTTCTGAAGCACATAACCTCTGAGGAGTTCTCTGCCGCTAAGCAGCTGAGGTAAGAGCCTATGTTTGCAACAGCCCCCACCAGGGATACGCAGGAAGAACGGAGAATATTGTTAGTGCATACATTTCCTTTGTGCTGGGAAATGGAAACCCTGGTGTCCTGGCCCAATTCACTTTAATTGATTTTGTATTCAGAAACCAGCACGAGTGGGGCCACACACCACTCTGTCTAGAGCTATTTCTAGAAGTCCTACATTAGGAGAAGCGTGACTTGAATTCAGTCAATCTATAGGCTGAGTTTAGTGTAGCAATACCTTTCCAGTGACAACAGCTGCTGTTAGGCAATCTGATGTAGAAGCTTAAGAATGGTTCAGATGGATCACACCAAGGGCCCATTGAATTCAGCATTTCAGCTTTCAGACAGCTGACAAGCAAAACATCCTCCCATTTCTAAAACCCAGTCTTGGCCCCTGACCTCTGAGGTTCCACTTCTAGCTGGTATGGATTTTATGCCATTGGCCTAATGCAAGAGGAGACACATGTTTTAGACTACTAGTGCCATCATCTCCAGCTAGCACAGTCATTGCCTGAGGACTGTGGGAGTTATAGATGAAGATGTTTGAAAATACTAGGTTGCCTGCCCCAAAATGTTGTCAGAGTTTCAGGAGATGAATGGGGCTCTTAGTTTGGATGGAAGACCTCTCATTGTGTAATAGTACATGGGAATGACCTTGGGAGATAGGGGGAAGTGCCACAGCCAGGAGAAAGGTTGGATAAAAGGCAACTTGGCCTGCAGCAGAATGTGGGCATGGCAAACATCTCAGAAGGGACCCTCCTTAGTTTCTTGAGTTGTAAAAGTGACGGGGGAGAGATGTACTTTCAGACTTGCAAGATTCTGTTAATGTAACCTGACAATAAAGTAGAGTTAGTTCATCTGGGTGTGTTTCCTGTTTGGATTACCTCGCAAGGCTGACAACAATCTTGCAAGTACATTTCTCCCCCATCTAATCCTTCTCCTAATTCTTAATTCTTCTCCTCCATATATGAGACCTGTATGGATATCCTGGAAATAGAGTTGGGAAGCACGTAATGATAGACAAGGTTCTTTCTTGGCACACCATAGAGTTTAAATCTGGGTTGCTGAATAAAGGGGGCTAGTTTGCCTTCCAAACTCTACCCATCTGGCACTAATGAATGGGGAGCTCACAATGTTTGCTGCTTGATAACAGAAGCCCTTGTGTGTTTCTTTCTATAACAGAATCTATCTTTCTCTCTTCTCTAGCCCCCCCCCACAATTTCCAATGAGTAACTTTACCAAATCAGGCCTGAAAGTTCCAAAGCCAGATGTTGAAGTTGATTTAAACCTTCAAAATCCTACACAGCTCAGAGCTTGGTTTTGTAAATGGCTGCTTAGTTTCATTCTGTGCCTGTCCACTTATTCAGGCCTAGGAAGGGACTGCTGGCCACAGAGACTTTTTGTTTGGGTAGAGGGGACAGGACCTCTTGCCCTGTTTCCAAACCATGGAAAGCTTCCTCTTCCAAGTTACGACGTGCAAAGCCTCAGCTTTTATCGACAGTGTTTAGGTATATCAAGGTCCAACCATTGGTAGCAACAGTTTTCCTTACAGTTTTCCTTATAATGGGTTGGTGGGTTTTCTGTATTTTGGGGGGTGCTTTATTGTATTGCATCTTTACTGTATTTGTTGGAAGCCACCAATAGTTGCAAGCAGAGTGGCATGCCAATAATTGTTAATGAATAACTAATGCGGGTGCTGAAAGAGTTTTCTGCTTCTTTTAATGATGCTTTTGTTTTCATTTTTTAAAAAATCTGTCCCATTAATAGCTCCGTAGAACCACAAATAAGAAGCAAAATGAAGAGTGCAATGGGATGTGGCTATTATCACATTTTCTCTCTCTTCCTGCCTCATTCTTTTTTCTGTCCCAGAAGGAAGAGTCTGCCACCTGGATTCACTCTGGAAGAAATCTGTATGCTAAGTGAGTCTCTCTTTCTGTCTATCTATCCACTGGGCCCTTAATCTGAGCTAGGACTCTTTTTCTCTCAGCTTTTGGGATGGTAACTCCTGACTCCTCCAAAGGATTTAGGAAAGCCATTGAAGCAGTTGTGCCTTGAAGGACACAGAGAATTGGCAAAGTCTGCTGAGCATTGTACATTCCAGTTTTGGTCCACAAAAGTCTCGTGAAGGTAGCCTGCAGCCAACAGTACAGAATATGAAAAGCAGAACCTGCCACACAGTGTCCCAGTGGGGAAAGCACCTCTGGGGTCCCCCTGGACCGCCCCTGCCTCTACCATATTCCATCTTGCTTTGTGTCCTTCCAGATATTCTATTCCTCCCAACATCCAGCCTTCTGTGGCCACTGAGCATACTCAGTCTGCAGTGTGCTATATGTGATATTGTTCTCCATACTGGTTTTGTGGAGGTGCCGCTACTGATCCTCCTGTGAATGGATGATGCCATTCTGGCTACATAAGCACTGGCGCCTCTCTCTGTACATCAGAAGACGAAAGAATGATACGCAGTTGCATTTTCCATTGGGGTTTCCATGATAGTCTGTTGCAACTGAGGGTCACCTTTACATCTTTTAAGATTAATGTGTCTGTTGATTCTCTGAGGAATAGCGAGCCTTTAAATCCCCAGACCCTTATTACTTTGTACGGAAGGTGCTATGCTGCTACAAAATGTGATAACCACCCAGTTTGAGTTCCGAAAGACTGCCATCATTCATTGCACACACCACTGTCCCATGTCAGGTCCCCTTGGAGACGTGTGAGGATAATGGTGGTGGAAAACTGTAGGAGCCAGACTGGTGGCTTTTGAGACTTCCGATGAGAGGCGAGTGGGACAGAGCCAATGCCCTATGTGTTTTCCGGTATCTCAGAATCACGGGTACAAAGTAAGAGCAATAATGTCAGTTTGTCTCTTGTGCATGATCTGCACAAAATGTGCTTTTCGAGCAGTTTTTGTTGTGCAGGACAGAGTTGTGATTGCTGTCTGGCCACTAGCTTTTCCAACTTCTAGTTCTAGCTCTCTCTTGATGGGGAGAGGATTGGTAGGAGACAGAAGGCTGCTGGTGTGTCTCTTCTTAGCGTAGCCCCTTCCCAGCCCACCACCTCTGGCCCTGCCACCTCCAGCCAGCACCAGTTGGCAAATCCTGTCTACTGGACATGACATGATCTCTCTTCTGAAGAAGCCTTGTGCTCAGTGCCGCAGATGGCACTGCTCAGTTTTGAAGCAGATCACTTAGCTGTCATCTTGCCTATCTCCCAACCGGCAATTAAAATAAATAGCGTAGGAATCCTTTTAATTCTGCCTGCTTTCTTCAACCACTTCTGAAAAAGAGTCTATTTCTGGACAATCCAAATTTAGGATATTTATTGCCATTTTCTGTGGCAAGAAAAGCTAATTTCTATATACACAAAATAGCCATGACCTGATCATGAACATTCTTTTTGATACATGGACATAAGTAATGCAAAGCACATTAATTCCCATTTATACTATTGAAATCCTACATCAACATTCCCGCCTCCCCCCACAAAAAAACACAACTCTGATTTTTTAGGGTAATTACCCACACACCCTTCAAGCCTGCCTCTGAAGTTTAAATCTTGATTAAAAAAACAAACAAACACCCTTAGTCACCTATTATGTATTTCTGTACTTGCTGGTGTACTTTCATAGGAAATCTAGTGGAATAACTATTGTGTAGAGGGGATAGAACAACCTCAGGTTTTTTTTGTTGTTGAAAAACTACAGATAATCATAGATGCATTGTGTGCAAAAAATGAATTCTGAAATTTGCATTTAACACTCCATGTCTCTAGTGTAAGACTATACAGGTAGTCCTTGCTTAACGACCACTCAAAGTTACAGTGATATTGAATGAGTGGGTCCTCAAAGTTCCAGCCATTTGAATATTCTTGCAGTCACAAGATCACAATTTGGGTGCTTGGTGACCGGCATGCATTTATGACAGTTGCAGCATCCTGCAGTCATGTGATCACCATTTGCTACCTTCCCTGCCAGCTTCTGACAAGCAAAGTCAATGGGGGAGCCAGCAGAAGGTCACAAGTGGCAATCATGTGACATTGCACTTAATGACTGGGTGGGATTCGCTTAACGACAGCAACAGGAACTGCCATCGTAAGTTGGCATGGTCACATGATTTTCTGCTTTACGACCATGTCACTTAGCAACAGAATTGCTGGTCCCAATTACCATTATTAAGTGAACACTACCTATATACACATACATTATTTTCTTTTCAGTTACAACTGTTAAGGAAGAAGAAAGCCAGATTTTGCTGAAAAGGCCTTTGTTTTGTTTTTTCCCAGTTTTATAGCTTTTTGTCAACCATTGGCAAGTGACTCTCCACAGATTTACAGGTAGTCCTCGTTTATTGACCACAGTGGGGACTGGTAACTGTCACTAAGCGATATGGTCATTAAGTGAAGCATCACATTACTGCCCTGGACTTACGACAGCAGTTCAACTGCAGTCATTAAGTGAATCATCACGGATTGTTAAGTGCAACATCACATGACCATGACTTGCAACTTCCTGTCAGCTTTGACTTTGCTTGTCAGAAGCTGGCTGTGAAGGTCGCAAATGGTGTTCACGTGACTGTGGGACGCTGCAACCATCATAAATGTGCACCAGCTGTGAAGCATCCAGATTGCAGTCATGTGACCTCGGGGATGCTGCAACAGCCACAAGTTCAAGGACCGGTTGTAAAGCTACTTTTTCAGCGCTGTCGTAACTTTGAATGGTCACTGAATGAGGACTACCTGTACTAAGATCCAGAGTATGATATGAATGCTTCTCTTTTATCAGGAACCAAACCAGTCTTTCTGTGTGATAGCATTTGCCAAAGGAGGTGTGGGTCAGGTGTTGAGCCACATCTGGAGCAATAGTGAACAGTCTTTAGTTTACATATCCCTTAGAAGGGGCCATAGAGGTTATCTAGTCCAGTGTTTCTCAACCTTGGTAACTCCCAGAATTCCCTAGCCAGCTGATCTGGTCCAAGTCCCTGCTCAGTGGAGGATCCACTAGAGCATCTCAGTGTTGATTTGAAGAACCCTAGCAAAGGAGGACTCACCATCTGGGGTGGCAGGCTGTTCCATGGCTGACAGCTCATACAGTCTGATGTTCATCCTGAACCTCCTTCCTTATAGGAACCATTGGTTTTGGTCTTGGCCTTGAGGCCATAGAGAATTCATCCACTCTCTCTTTTGTGTAACAGCCTTGCAGATATTTGAAGATTGCTATCATATCTTCCCTTGGCTGTCCTTCCTGTAGGCTAACCAGAGACACATCCTTTCATCATTCTTCACAGAGCTTGGTTTCCAGACCCTTTATCCTCTTGGTAGCCTCCTCTGAACTTACTCCCACTCGTCACTATCCTTTTTGAATTGTGGTACCCAGAACTGGATGCACTATTCCACATGGGGACTGGGCAGAATAAAGTGGAACAATTACTTCCCATAATGTGAACTCCATACATCCAATAATGCACTCCAAGATAGTATTTGCCTTTTTAGTAGCTGCATCACGCTCTGGCTCGTTTAATTGTGGTCAGCAAGGACACTCAGGTTCCTTTCACATGGACTACTGCCAAACCAGCTCTCCCCGCTCTTATGTTTGGGCCTTACATTTTTCCTACCCAGATGCAGAACCTCACATTTCTCCCTGTTTAATACCAAAGTATCCATTTTAGCCCATTGCTCATGCCTAGCTCTTTTTGTCATGGCTAGCTCTTTTTGATTCTTCTCTTTCATCTGGAGAATTAGCTAGTCGTCCCAATTGTATCTCGTCTGCAGACTTTATAAATGTCTCCCCAACTCCCTCATTCACATCATAATGATAAAAACGTTGAATAGCACAGGGCCCAGGACAGAGCTGTGTAGCGCTCCACTTTATAATCTCCCTCTAAGGTGATGTGGCACCATTAATTGAGCACTCTTTTGTTGCAGTCATTCAGCCCACCATGAGTCCCATAATCCACTAATTAAAGTCTGGTATAAAAGGCATAAATGTATTGGTAAGCAACCCCTGGGCCTTCTCAAACTCCAGTTTTCAGTCCCAAGAACTTCCCAAAATATTCTGATCCTATCCCTGGGAAAAAAATTAAATGCAATCACTGGCTGCAAGAAGGCTGCTTGATTTAAAGGGGTGAAAACGTTCAGAATTTTTGGAGTACCTGATTAAAGGGAGCTCACAATCCTTCCACCCAAAACTCTGACTGATTACTACAATCTTTTTTTTTCTTTTAACAGTGGTGGGGGTGAGGAGGGGAAAGGCTGGGCTCACACATTATCTTAAGCCAAAATGTGGCTCAGATGTTTTTGATTTAGTAGTTTGTATGCCTCTAACAAGTTAGATTACTTTTGTCAAGTAATCATGGTTAAACAGGACATGGTTTACCATGATCTGTAAGTCTTGTAAAATCGTTATTTTGTTGCTGGTGCTGTTGAGAAGAATTAGAGCTGGAATATCTTAGTGATCTATTCTCAGATATCCACCTGCAGAACTCTGACCATCTCTAGTCTACAGTGTGAACAGATTCTGTCTGTGATCTGTGAATGCATCTTTTGCTTTTCTCCTTGTAAATGTGTTAATGAAGACATTAGGACACCACTATTTTGCAGGAATGCATGGAAATGATCAACCAGTCCTACCCTGGATGCTTTTGTGTGTTACAGAACAGAGGGACCGGGGCAGCACTACCAGTCTGAGCAGTGACTTTTCTCTTGTAATGGAGAGTTCACCTGGAGCTGCAGGAAGTTTCACTTACGAAGCCGTGGAATTGATGCTAACAGGACCTCAGACCCAAGCTTCTTGGTAAGGTGGTGTCAGCAACACCTATATACAAACTGTCTACCGTGGGAAATCTGTATGTCCTGAGGATGAATGGCTGTGTGTGTTGACCAGGAAGCAGAATGATGAAATCTCCATGCAGAGGGACTGGGAAGCTTTTCAGCGACCTAATCTAGCAAAGGGAGGTGGAAGCAGATATTACTTTCAGCTGCTTCTCCCCAGTGGGTGCTGTTGCTAAATAATGTTGTACCAATCTCTACATTATTATGTACGTGTCTTTAGATCACTTTGTCATTATGCGTAGGCAAACTATTTAGTGGCAAGTCCCTTCCACACATTTAAGCAACCTGCAGATCAAATATGGATCCCAAGTGTCTCTTCCAACAGTCTCATCGAGTCATAACAGATGAAAACTGCTAGCATGATTTTGTGCTATTTTGTGAGAGCAAAGCATGGAAAGTGTAGTGTAAGTCTGTATAATACAGCTTTCAAAGAGGAAAGAGATTTCAAATCTCTTCCCAAAATCCAAGCCCAGGCTTGACTCATTTGCATCATTGCTTTGCTTATTGTGGCCCATGGGCTCTTCCAAAATGTTAAGTGTGGCTCTCAGCCACCAGAAGGAGGCCCATTCCCAATCTAATTTATCATTCGGTGCTCTAAGCCACCCTGCAGTTTCGACTGAGGAGGCTCCTGTCTGTATGATCCTGGATCCTCCTTCAAAGCTGGGGAGATCTTTGGGACTGAAAATGGCTTTCCTAAAACCCCTCAAAGTTCATCTGATAGTCCTACAATTAGGTCTGTGGAGTCCTTGGTGCTCTCTGAGCTTGATTGTTTGATTGCAGACATTTCATTACCTGACATGTATAGGGCAAGCTACTGTATATAAACAGGGAGCAAACCCCACACTCACTGGCCCTGATGATGTTACCTAGTTGGGTAATGAAACGTCTGCCATCAAACAACGAAGCTCAGAGAGCACCAAGGACTCCGCAGTTCAACCCTGAGCTACGGATATTCTCTTCTATTAGATCAGGTCTGTGGTGTCTCCGGGGATAGACTCCTCACTGTCCTTGGAGAACAGGTGTCAGTGAGGGTAGTCAGTGTTGAGCTGGAAGTCCTCACAGCCAGTGTGAAGCAGCTTCCTGTATTTCTGTGCAGAAGTAATTCTTCAGTCTGCAAAAATTTGTACAGGCATAACATACAGCTCAACTGCACAATGTTGAGTAGTGTCCCTGGCTGCTAGTAAGTATTTCGGCAGCTCCGTTTGGGGGTTATATTTGCCCCCTTTCTTTGGCTTGGCTTTGGAGACCTTTAGTTTCTGCTTGAGAGGGTCAAAGGAGCCTACTAGCCCTCCCACATGAAGGCAGGAGCAGAGGGGCTGGGGATTTCAGAACCTTGCTGCAGGCTTTCCCTGCTCAGTTTAATTTTTCTTTCTTCTCCCCAAGCATGTGTGCTAATGATATTTTACAGTGCAATTATTCTGAGCTAAATCTGGGCTGCACTGAGAAGCAAGTGGAAATCCTCTGGGTAACAGTAAATTTCAGCTTGCTGTTATCACGCTTTGCCTCTCAAAGCATATAAAGTATGTGTCTGTGGGGGAGAAATCTGAATTTAGGGGCATTCTAGAAAGACTGCCCTTGCCAAGTCTGTCGTGTACCCCTTGCCGTGCTATATGCACATAGAAGTAAGAGCTAATTATGAAAAATAAACCAACAGGAAGGCAGGAAAATAATTCATTCAAAGCTGAAAGTTGTTGTTCTGGGTCATTGTGATGGTCTGCAGGACTGAACAAAATAATAGACATTCCATAACTGGAACAGCACATTATTTTACCAAAGAATATAATGAGATAAACTTATCTAAAGTGGCTGCTCTGTTTACATTATTTTATTAGGCCTTGGAATCTTGGGGAACCTGGCTCAGATACACAGATCAAATAGGGACCTTTGTTTTAGATTGTCTTTCAAATAACTCTCTAAATTTCTTGAGAGAGAATCTCTGCAATATTCTTAAGTGGCCTGCCTTTCTTTTCCATAGATTCCTTGTTTGGTTCATACTGTCTCTAGCATATGCAGAGAATCCAGATCTAGTGAAGGAAGGATTTGCTGATGAGAAGCTGAAATAGGAGGTCTGTCTTCTAAGAATATCAAAGAAACAAGTATAAAATGGGACAGTGGTTAGGGATGATCATGGGAAGGGCCTAAAGGTTAAAACTGAGTGAAACAACCTCATTTGTCAATCTAGAGAGCAGTTCTGAATACAGTTATTTTTATTTTACATGTTTTCCCTTTAAAATAAGAGTGCTGGAGTCAAGCTCTTAAAATGAAAGTAGAGGGTTTTTTTCAAGGTGGAAACTATCTAACTGAGATAAAGGTCATAATCCTCAATTCAAAATGAAGCTGTCACTTCACAATGTTGTAAGTACTTGGGCTGTCTATCTTGCATTGCGAGTTGTCATGAATTAGGAAAAAAATGTCTTAAAGTCGAGCTCAAATGATGTCTACTTGAACAAGGTGACACAAACTGCTGAGAAGTGAAATGTCCTCTGCGCAAGGAGACCCATTTTTAAGGGGTATTCTGGGTCTTTCTCCCTCACTGGCCCTTCTAGCCAGAAGTGGGATGACTGCACAAACTGGAGGGGGCCCTGTTCAGTTTGGAAAAGCTTCTCTGCTTTTAATTGCCTCTCATCTCTGGCGGCCTGCTTGAGTGCCTGTAGCTGAATTACTGAGCACTTCATTAAATCTCAGCCTTGTGCCCACCAAAGTCACAAGTAAGGGAGGGGGGAAAGACTCTTGAAAGCTTGGTACTGCTGTCTTGAGTTTTGGAGAAAGAGTGGCTGAGGGCTTTCCAAGGAAATCCTGGGGACTGCAGACAGTCCTTATTAACATACACAGCCAGGGGTGGTAAATAAGCCAGACCTCTGATAATTGCAAGCATCTGAGGATTCAGAGATGGCTGAATAGAGGTGGGGGAAAAGAAGGGCAAGCAAATGTGGGCCTTCATAGGGAGGCTATGGCAGGTTCAGACCCCTTGAGCATCAAAGTCTAGTTATTACAGTTGAAAAACCACAGTTCTTCCTTGGTCACAAGTCTGTTTGAATTATGTGAGGCTTTGCTTATGTAAAATCTGAGAGTGATCCCTGCAGTTGTTTTAGTAATGAGAGGATCTAGAAGGAAGTTGTCCCTGTGGGGTGGATACAGCCCACCTCCAGGGTGGTCCGGGCCATATAAAGGATGTTCTCCTCTTTTGTCGGTCTCTCATGTTGATGAATATCTGAATAGGCCTTTCTAAAAACAAGTATTTATTTATTAAATGTGTACATGTACTCTTATTCCTTTCCAAAATTGGAGGTTTTTGAAGGACCTTCCATCAGTTTGTGTAGTAAAGAGGGGAGAGAGGCAGAAAGAAGCTTCTAGATATGGCATTGTGGAGCTTAAATCATGAAGGTAACAAATTACTGAAGAGGCCATGGAGATGTAGAGGGTATGGAAATGTCTTTTGTGGATGTTCAGGAAACTCAACTCTGTCAAGTGCTGGGTTAGCGAATCACACTTGTGTGCCTTGCTAGATTTTGCTAGGAAGTTTGAACTAAGAATTCCAGTAGTAATGGTAAGAAGCTGGTTATCTTGGTAACCTGTTAAGTATGCAGGTGTTTGAAAACTTGGGCAGGTCTCTAAACTGCTGGTGGAGCACCAAAGGTGATGGTGTGAATTGGAAACCCTCTTGTTGCAAATGTTGCCCCAGCTGTGAAGTAACTTAGGGAAATACTTATTTGAAGCCTGCCTTTCCCATCTTAATATGGAGACTGTCCTATTTGAGATCTCTGAATATTGAACAAAAGGATGGTATGAATGCCCTGTGTCAGATAGCTACATCTTTATTTTGGAGGCCTTCTGGCTATGAATAATTTTAAGCTCCTCACTATGATTTGTGTGTTAAGATCTTCCTTTGAGTTATTCTATTGCTGACAGGTCTTTAATTATTAGATTGGCTACCTGTTTTTCTATGCTGTATTGTTTAAAACAGGTTAGTAATTTTAGCTTTATTGTTTCCAATCTTTTACCTGCTTTGAGTTTTCTTTCAAGAAAATTTCCCTTCCACTTCCATTCATTTGGAAATAATTCTGAGATGGAACCCTAACATCTTAACTTTATATGTTTATAAAGTTTACCAGGCATGCCTGATAACTCCCTAGCTAGGCTGCCTAGAAACTCCACTGGTGAAAAGACAGGGTCAGATCCATCTTGCTTTAGCAAAGTTCCCCAAGCGGATCAGACATCAAGTAAGCCACGTTATGTCTTTGCAGGAGGAAAAACTGTGCATCGTCCCCTCAGGCAGTCCTGTGGAATCGGACACAGCAACCTGAAGACAGGCTGCCAGTCCAGGGCACGCTTGACGCGAGGTCCTCCAGCTCCTCTTCTTCCAATCATTCAGAGAACTTCTCAAGGCTAGGCAGCAGCCCGCTAGAAGTCCCTAAAACCAGGTGAGATGCGGTAAATCCTGTCAGTCATTCGGAAGGGGAGCGGGGGCTTGGAAGCAGCTAGCCAGTGCAAATTGGAGCAGGGCTCCTCCTGGGGACAGAGGAAATCCCTGATTCCTATTGAAAAAAATTCCCTGTGTTTGGAAGAAGTCTATCAGGGAGAGAGATTGTTTGCAGAGGGAACTGTTTGCAAATTGTTTCCAGAGGATTTTCTGGAAACATTTCAAATAACTTTCTAGAAAAAGCAGCCTGCACTTTTTTGCCTCTTGCAGTAAAAAAAGTATAATTACAGTAGCAATTTACTGCTTTTCAGCTACACCTGGCTTCTGCCACCTGAGAGGCTTGCTCTTGCTGCCATAAATAGGGACTTGGCTGACAGAATGAAAGTGGAGATAAGGCTCTGAATTTAATGGTTGGCATCTAGAGTCTGGAGGTTTGGAAAATGTCAGCTTATAAGAGGAACAAGGAGCTGTAATGAGCTGAATCAGGGGCAGCTAGAAGGTTCATCTCAGTCCTCTTCTGGTTCTGACAATTTCATATTGTCTACAATTTGTAGGCCTGTGTCTGTGGCTTTCTGACTGAGAAAATATAGTCATTAAAAAGAAACAATGCTGACATTTTTAGGGATGCCAAGTTCTGCATCCAGATTTCAAGGGAGATGGGGAAATGTATATGGAGCATTATTGTAAAAATAGACATCTTAAGGAGACTGTAGAAGGGTAGTGTGGGTGAGAGGGGGGTCCTTTTTAGACCCCTAAATCAGCTATTTCTTAGAAGGGCATGCATAGTGATTTTGTGTAGCTAGGAGAATGATACATACAAGTGGAAAAGACATACTAGAATTGCAATCTAAAGACTGATGGGAAGGGATGCTCTGCCCATCTAGGTAGATGCAGTTCAGCAGCACAAGCCTACTTTGACTATAATACAGATGCAAATGCAAATTTGGTGAACAATTTGCCTTTTTGGCCCGGTGAGTCTTTTGCTGCTTTTTCTTGCTGGTCACAATCTTCAACTTATCAAAAATGTATTTAAAATGCTTGAGCAGAGTTCACTTTTATCAAAGGAGAAGCTAAAACTACCCAGTATTTGCTGTATTTGTAATAGACCTAGATCATAGGAAAAACTACAGTGAGACAAGACAGCGAACAAAAATATGGTGCTCAGGTTGCTTTTGCTTGAAAATAAAGATTTGCGGGGGGGGGGGGGTTCTTAACAGGGTTTTTTTTTTAGGGGGGGACCCCAGGATAGGGGATGAACTGAAATACAGAATTGGGTCCAAGGGGGTTTTTTTTTTTTTTTT